TGATTGACTTTTGGGGGGGGGGGGACATCGATCTGTCTTTCCACTTATTTAGGCATCATTGGTCGATTCCTGTACATGTGCCCTGACCAGGGATCGAACCTGCAACCTTGGAGTATCAGGACGACACTCTAACCTACTGAGCTACCTGGCCAGGCCTCGGGCTTTTGGTAGTTTTGGACTGAGGCAGGAACTCATCTAGACGCTTCATCATCTTTTTTTTTTCAGCAATTCATAACCTTGTGCCCCAAAGAGCCAAGATTCTTAAAGTTTGCCATTAGAGCCGCTACTGCTATAATTCATTTTTTAAAAAAAGATAGCCTCTGGCGTGTCTTTGCAAAATACGTGTTAGTCTTCGAAAATGTTCTCGCTCTTTTTTCTCCCAGTTTACTTATTTATTTGCTGAGTCTTAGAAGACACAGGAAGTACTGTAACTGGGAAGCGCTAACCTTTCTGTAGTTGAACGTATCGGGGAGACACTGGCGAACCAACCGGGGGGTACCCGCGGCAGGCTTGCTGGCACATAGGGCAGCTCTGTGTTTGCTTCCCGGGGACCTGCCGGGCTGTCTGCAGTGCGCTGCACCGCTCCGCCTCCCACCAGTCATGCCTGCGCTTCCAGGATCTCTGCCTCCTGGCCAACCTTGCTGATTTCCTCTCATTTTTATTACAGCCACCCAAGTGGGTGTGCGTATCATTTCTTAAAATGTACTTTCTGAGTCCACGCTTGTACCACCACATCTCTAAACAGAATAACAGATCTTTAGGCGCGGACATGCGGCCCGCAGCCTCGACGCTCCCTTTCCGCGCAGACTGGCAATGTGACCAGCGGACTCGGACACCAGGCCAGGCTTGTGTTCTGCTGCCGGGGTCAAGCTGCGTCCCCCTGCTCAGCCCGATTCCTCCAGGCCGCTCGCACAGGCCCTTCGTAATTCATTTTGGCTATTTGTAAATAGAGGTGCAGAATTTGAGCAGGATATGTGGACATCTTGGGGCGAACCCAGCTCCTCGGGCTGTGGGGCCATAGGAAGGGGAGAATTTTGCAAGAATCTACTTCTCATTTCTAGCCCATTGCTCCGCGAGGGAAACTGTAGGCTGCACCAGGGGGAAAGTAAAAGGTTGAGGCAGGACTGAAGTTTCTCTGCTCCGGTTGAGGGTCCGGGAACAGTGGTTCCCTCCCTGGGATAGTAGGTCCGAGCAGATGCCTGGGGAACTGCTGCTGTTTTTAATTGTTGTTGTTAATCGTCACCTGAGGCTATTTTTTCCATCGATTTTTAGAGAGAGTGGAAGGGAGGGAGGGAGGGGGAGAGAGAGAAATATCAATGGGAGAGAGAAACACCGATGGGCACATGCCCACCGGCAGAGACTGAACCAGCAGCCCAGGCATGTGCCCCGGGGGGGGGGGTCAAAGCCGAGGCCTTAGGGTGCGCGGGACGGGGCTCCCGCCGCCTGGGCCAGGCCGGCCAGGGTGGCAGCTCCAGGTTTTGAAGCCAGGTGGCCGGGCTCCTCTTACCTGCCCCGCTGAACCCCTCGGTGTGTTTCAGGAGCCGCGCCGACCGTCGGGCCCGCTCCTCCGCCTGCAGACGCCAGGACCGTCTTCGTCTCCACCTTCAGCTGCCTCGCTATCTTTCTCCTGTTCCCGGCCGTCTTCCTCATCTACAGGTGCAGTCAGCACGGTGAGTCCCTGGGAACAGCCCTT